CGGCCGCTGGCGTGGGCGAAATATGCGCTCCCGTCGCTTTTGACGCGGTGTTCGTGTCCGTTCTACCGGGCTGCGCTCTTCCCCAGCGGAAATGAAGCCCCCGGTCAGTCCCGGCAAGAGCCCGGCTTCCCGTTCGCCTTCAGGTGCCCTCGGTGAGGTGCCTGCGGGGAAGCAGGGAGGCAAAGGCTGTCACCCTGCCATGCGCAGGGCATCTGGGAGAAGCTGCTGCTGCAGAGAAAGTTACTGGTACCATAAGCTAACTATTGCAATCCTAATATTGATCACTGAAATAGTGCTTACTAAATGAGTCACTTCCAGAAGAGTCTTTGATAGAACCCCTTCCTAAGGATGCTGCCTTTGCTAAAAAAGGCATTAATTGTCCAAGTAACCCTGCAGTTTTTTAGGGGCAAGGTCAGTTGAACATGTTGGTTCTGCTGAAAGTTGGTGACTTCTCCAATTTGATTATACAAAGCTATTAATATTGCTGAAACTGCTTTGCTTTTGCTCGGTTGTGTTCATTTCCTCTTGGTATAGGTACAGCTGCTAGTTGCTTCTGAGTTCACCAAATAACATGGGTTGTCTGGATTTTTTCCTTCTTTGGTTTTTTTTTTTGTTTTTTTTTTCCTTCTCTCTTTACACCCTCCCTTCCATGGGACTTCTGTGAGCCTCCCCTTCTAAGTAGTTCAGCTCCTCTTTCTCATAGGACAAGCTTCCACTGTCTCATGACCAGCAGCCAACCTATCTCAGTGCACTGCCTATCTCAAATGAAACAAATAGCCTTACAGTTTTTATCAAGGTGGGTGGGAACACACAGAACATCTGACTTAACATTATGGTAATTAACTTTATTACACACTTTATAAAAGCTTTCCATGCAAGCCTAGGAGGAGAAGAGATATTGAAGCCTTGAGCCTGTCCTCATTTCTCTTTCCATTCCCTATAAGGAAAACAGCAAGCAAACAGTGGGCACAGCTGACTGTTACTCACTCCTTTTGGGAAACTCTACAGAGTTAGCATTTCATACAAATATACAGAAAACTGGTCACCTGAGCTGGCAAAACCATTGTGTTACCTAAGCATCTAGGTAATTGAAATGTTTTAAGTAATCTTAAGTGTAAACCAGTCAGTACGGGGAAGGCTTTACAGCCTAAAATTAAAAGGGTTTGGAGACTGAAAGCTGTCGGCTGAGGGGGCTCTCTGTGTTGATATGTATACCCACTATCCAAAGAATACAGGTGAAGAGCTCCAGCCCTTTCCTTTGCCCTCCCAGGCACTTTGCTCTCATTTTGTCTAGACTCTCTGCATTGCTCTTGGCCGAGATAAACTAAATGAACCTGGCTCAGACCAGGACAGAAAGCACATTGCCTGGCGTGGAAATGGGACTCGCTCAAGAATCTCCCCCAATGGAGAAAAAAAATATATCACAGGGTATCTAGACATTATAGTGCAAATGCCATTTGCAACGTCCTTGATATCCACATGCAGGGTATATAGTCCATGTGCCATTTGTCAGTTTAACTTGATTATGAACTTTTCTGACCTTCCTGTGGCTGACAGAGCTGTGAAGTACGTGCAGTCTTGCTTGCTAGAAGCCGTGTTCAGCTGAGTGTAGAAGTTGCTGAACAACTCCTCACCGTAGGAGCTAACAGCAGTCTAGAATTCTCAGTGAGAATACTCTCGCTGGATGCAAAAGTTAGAATACTTGCCTAATTACTGATTAAATCATATTGCAGCCTTAGCTGAGCTGCCATTGTTATAAGCGATTGGACATCACTTTAAAAGAAGTGGCCATTGTAGGAATCTGATGTTTCTTCAGCAATACATTTAATCAACTGAAGTGGCTTGCTCCAGGCTCAAAGCGGAAATTACCCTGGTAGGATGTCACTGAATTGGCAGTAGCTCTTGTTAAACTGATGGGGTATTTCAGCTGAATTCAGTTGCCTATAGAACTATATTAAGTTGATCCTTCTTGGTCTTGCTTCTCTCGATGCTTGATGAGATAGCATAGATTTCATGATCGATTTGAGCCAATCAAACTTTGTACTGCTGTCATAAGTGGTGCGCCCAGCATCTTTAGTAATGCTAAAAATTGTGCAGCTGCAGAATAAAGTGGATCAGCTTGTTGACCTGTCAAAAAAATAATCTTCTAAGGTAGAGGGAGTGGGGAGAGAAGATGGTACTTGCTTTTCAGGTAGGTTAACAGTTTGATGTGATTCGTTGTGTGGTTGCGTGATCACTGGTGCGTACACAAGGAAAATAGGGGAGAAAGAGGGCTAGAATATCTCTTCTCACTACAGCATGATTTCAGTTTGATGCAAGCTAACCATGAAGTGCACCACTGCTATCTGCTGTTCTTGAAAGATAGTTTGTGCCAGTATTGCGAAAGGTTTGGGCTATCATGAGTAGAAAAATTCAGATTTTTTTTTTTTTTTAAACTGATAGCAACCCTTGGCTCTTTCTTATTTTTTTTTTTTAACCATGCATTAATAAGTAACTTTAGAATATGTAAAAGTGGCAACACAGAGTAGTCAGGTTGTTCTGCAGCAGCAATAGCCTCAAATACAGAAATAGCAAGGCCGGTAGAAACAAACAGCTATGTTAGTTGGTCTAAAAAGGTTAAGGAAGAGGAGTGCATAAGCTTTTAGCTCCACAGGCTTGTTTTCAGGGTATGCATGCCTCACTATCACTTTCTTATCTGAAAGTTAGTCTGTTAGGCTGGATCGTGTCTAAATGGGGATGTTTAAAATACACGTTGCATTTAAAGCAAAGAATGTAAGTGTTGTCCTACCGGCTTAAGTGAAACATTGAGAGAAATCCTTTGGGGGAAGCTAGAAGAATACATTCAAGAAGGAATAAAATACACCAGAACTTGTCTTACTAACTCATCTTGTGATCTCTTTATCTTCAGCTGCTCAGATAAAGAATTTGATGAGCCAGCTGGGAACCAAGCAGGATTCCAGCAAGCTTCAGGAGAGCTTGTAAGTATTAAATGAACTAACATTTGTATAGGTTCTCTTTCATTTCTGTCTGTATTCTTAGAGGAACTGGGTTACTTGCTTTGGAGAGATGCTTTATTATATAAATTTAATACACTCCTACAAACCAAAAATTACTAGCTGCGTTAAGTAGCTTACTGGACGAATTAAGGTGTTTCTGCAGGACTCTGGAGAAGCCATTCAAAACTGCTGGATAGGAATGGTTAGAAACGGTATAGTTTGTTTAAAAAAGGTAGTAGTACATCAGGCACGCATTAGCTCTACTCTGAGGATTAGCCATAGTAGCTTCACTTGTGGTTTAGAAGAAATGAATACCGTACTAGGTACTTGGTCCTAACATAAGACCAATAAGGAAAAACAGCAAGGAAGACCCATAACTGATGAAAAAGTAGCTTGTATTACAGATGGATTTAGACACTAGAAAGATTAGCAATCCTATGTGGCAGCCAAAATGCTACATGTAATTTCAGAAGAATAATGTGCCAGTGGGGGACAATATAGAAGACATTTAAACAGGCATAGTCCAAACTGACTCCTAGGGAGACTGAACACGGAGTCTGTATGTCTGTGCATCTTTTACAAACTTGTAAAGCATAAATAGCAAGTTATAAGAAGAATAATTGCTGGAGTCATAAAAGAAAACTTAAAAGTAAGTTCTTCCCTTATCTCTTCATGTGACTGTACCTTGAATCTCTGAATACACAACTTCCCTGTTTTTTAGCTGATAATAGCTGATTTTTTTGATAAGTTCATAATTTGTGGTGATAGCTATATACACTACATTTGAAGGATGAGACCAGATCCCAGTTGGGAGAGAAAAGAATTTGTTTGCCTGAGCTGCTCAGTTGACTCTATCTGTATTTAATCAGTAGATTAAAGAACTAATCACTGGGGGACAAAACAAACGTCTTTCCATTTAATTTCATTGTAGAAATGGCCCTCCTCTTTAAGGTGAAAGTGGTTGCACTCCACAAATGGTCAGCTGCTGTACAAATTTAATATAAAAATGCATGGGTGGTTTATTCAGCTCGCATATTGGAGGTCAACTTATACAGTAATGCAGCCTGAATACTTTGATTTGTGTATCTATTGGGCTGAATAGGTGACTTTCACTTAAGCATCTTGCATCTGTTGAATGCCAAAAAACGTTGGTTCTTGTTTTAGTATTTTGTGTCTTCCTCATCTACACTGTTAGTTTTTTTGCATATGGCCACAAAATAAAATTTGCGGTTCTGTTCTGTGTGAAGCACTAGCATTCTTTCTAATAAACTGCATCTTTGATGTGCAAGATGATGTCTTTACATTAAGTTCAATGTAACTAACGTCTTTCTGTATTGTGGTGTGCTAACAAAGGTGCTGCTGCACTAGATCCTTTGCAACAATAGCTTTGAATTGCAATATTGTTGGAAAACATAAAGGCTCAAGGGAAAGCCTTGCATTTCCCAAAGTAGAAGCTGGATCATTCCTCTCTCTGACCATTAATTTTCACAAAAACATAGGAATTTAATAGCGCTGAGTCTCTGTACTTTTATCAAATGTACATTTAACCAATGGAGTTGGCGGTTGTCAAGTGAATGGTTAGTTACCAACTGGTACCACAAGGAATTCACCCTGAAAGAGTGATTATGTCCAGTGAATAAAGCTGTCTCTCCCTTGAATTTCTCTCTCTTACGCCATTGGAGAAAAATATCTTTTTAAAACTACTGAATTGTACTAGTTAGCAGGGAGCACAGAACGTCTTTGAATTTTTTATTTTTTTTTTTTAAACATAGTCCAGAGTCAAGTTAATGGAAAAAGCTAAAAGTACATCTCTGTTCCATTGGGTGGGGGGAACCCACCATAAAGATGTGTGATCTCAGAGCCCTTACTTGGTCATTATTTTGGCAACTGAAAAGCTCAGAGACTGCTTTTTAGGTAGAAGCTTGTATAACTGCTTTTGAACTTCCATTTCAGACAACAGCTACAGCATTCTGCAAACTGCCTTGCCAAAGAGACCAATGAATACCTGAAGGAGTTAGGGTCTCTACCACTTCCTCTATCTGCTTCTGAACAGGTAGGCACACAGAATTTGTCTGGGCATATTTTTAAATCACTCATTTCATGAAACTATCATAGACCACAGCCTCACAAAGCTTGAATTGGCACAGCTGAAGAGACAGCAGGCTTTTGCAATAAAGAATGTTGTTGAAGTAGGGAAACACATTAAAGTGGCTACATCCTGGCTGCTTATATGACACTGGGAAAACAATGTTTCCCAACGGCAAATAGGTATAGAACTAACTTGCATGAGAATAAGAAGCCCTAAATGTCTGGGGAGAGCTGAGTACACTATTCTGTTTTTCTGAGTAAATTTCTGAAAAATAATCTTGTTTACAAAGTGCCTGGTGATGCAAGGCAGTGTTTTAGGATAAGAACTCATAGCAAACTGCATGTCAGTATGAAATGTGATCACACCAAAAAGCTTTCCCTTGCATGTGATTTATTAGCAGGGGAAGAAAAAGCTGACTCACCTTGCTCATATTTGAATAAAGCAAAATATAGTGAGGCAAGGATTATGACTTTATCTTGCCAAATAGTCCTTTGAATTCCCCCTCCCTATGGGAACGGGAAGGGACAGTCCTCTGCTGTTGATGTTTCCTTGCTCTACGTTAAATCACTACCACAATACTGATGCATCTGCTTTTGTGGTACTGTTGTGGGATGATCTGTGGATATGGGTCAGCAGATGTTGTCATAGTCTAATTCTGTATTTAAAGGTTTATATGCCAGTTGTAAGCATGGCCATGTTTTGCCTGTTTGTTCAGCAAATATTTTTCAGTTAATCTCCCTCTGGTGAACAAAATTTTGTCACGTGCATCTCGCTGAATGTAGCAGTGACTTTTGAAGCCTAGTGAAGCCTGTTGGAGCAATCCAGTCAAAATCTGCAGGAGCTGGCATCAACATGCTGAGGATCTCCTCTGGCAGAAGGGTTGTTACTTCCAGACGGCTCAGATGGAAGCTGCAGTGTATTATGAGGCTGCTGTAGCGGCTTATTATAGAAAAAATTAATTGAAAACATTTATTTCCTTGAAACGGCTGTTGAATTGATACAAACTCATTGAAAGATTACAATACTGGAAAGCCTGCAATTTGAGACAGCTGTTGGGAGTCTCTCTAATGGAAAACATAAGAACTCACCAGAGTATTGAGTGTCCTTGGGACAAGCTTTTTCACAACTTCTTGTTTCCATAACTAGGATGTCACAACACTTGAAGGAGATACTCTGTGCAGGCTAAATAAATTGACACTGTAAAATGAGGATGAAAAGGAATATTACAACTAATGTATTTGGAGAAAAGATAAACTGAAATGGTTATCAGGACTAAGGATATTCTCTGATCAAATAACACCAGGCTTGTAGTCTGTCATGGCTGGGAGACACAGCTTATGAAACTGGGGTAATGGGTGTTGTCATTGGTTCTGGAAATGTGAATGTAATGTTCTGGAATGTAGGAAAGTTAAGGGGGTTGTCTTATCAGGACAAGAGAAAGTTAAGCACTACCAGGTTGGCTAAGTAGAGGAATAGAGGGTAAAGGCACTGTAGGTATCCAAAAGGCACTGTAGGTATCCAAAAGGTACGTAATTAAATGTGGTAGATTACTGGAATGTGATTTGAATAAAAGTAATGGTGTAGAAGACCTGTCTACCTCAGACTTAAAACTAGATTGAAATTACAGAACAAAACTGTTCTGCAATAGGCAAGGCGTAGAGCATTTGACATAATAAATTAAAACGTGGTGGGCTTTTTGTTCTCTCCAGTGCCCCAGAATGCTGGAACCAAAAGATCACTTGAATGCCAGCATTCATTGTTGTTGTTGTTAAGATGATGGGTTTTTTGAGAGTCTGACAGTTACATTATCATGAATGGGAATATCTGAACACTTGTTTTTGTTTCAATTCTTTAGCGCCAGCAGAGGCTTCAGAAAGAACGTTTAATGAATGACTTCTCCGCAGCCTTAAATAACTTCCAGGCAATACAGAGGCGAGTGTCAGAGAAGGAAAAAGAGACTGTAGCAAGGGCAAGAGCTGGCTCCCGTATCTCTGTAAGTATTTATACGAATTTTGTATTGATACAGTGAACTAAAGTCTTTTGAGAGATCTTGTACTTGCCTACCAACTTCATAGCTGTCTACTGACACATTACTGAGAGCAGATGAGGCCTTGGTGCATTAGTTTTGTCACTCCAGATGTTGTAAGTACTAGGCACTCATTTCAGTATGCTGCTTGTCAATGTTAGTAGAGGAGGGAAGGAATCCTAGTAGTTGCAGATGTTGTGGAAGATGAGATGGGGAGTCAAAGTATAATTAATAGCAAAGCATTGCAGGCTGCTCTTTGCTTGATGTCAGCCTGAGACTATAAAATTTAAGAGGTCAGTTGGAAGCTTATCACACCTTAAATCTTAAATCTCACACTATGTTTCTTTATTTTCTTATAGCTTCTGTCCTGTTAATATCTCCAATGTATGTTCAAACCTTCTCCATGTTATGTTTTGACAAACCCCTCTGGCTACTAAGAATTCATAATAAAAAGGCCAGGGAAAGCATTTTTCTCACCTTGCCTTGGGGCTTTGTGTTAAGTATGCATTCTTAACTTCTACAAGGGAACACATTTATCAGTTGGATTACGCTCCAAATTTTTTTGCTACGTGTTGAGAAAGGAAGTGACAAACAATGGCAGCTGGTCTGAGTAAATGGACTAGCTGCTTTTGATCTCTCGGTTACCTCTGATTTGCAGAGAACTTGGAATCTAAAAATTAAATCTAAAGATGAATCTAAATCTAATCTTAATTAACCTAAGTTTAATCTGAAAGTTGAAGTGACAGTGGCATTCTCAAGGAACTCTCTGGACAATATATGCCTTTGTCTTAAGATACTCCTGTTGATTTTGCAAGTGGTCCTGGTAGTCTGCAAGACTAATAAGTCACTTATCTCTTCCAGGC